ATTTTAAATTTGTAAGACATCTATTGTATTCCTGTCTCTTATACACATCTAGATGTGTATAAGAGACAGCTGGTCCTTGCCAGAAACAGATGGCATTCAGGTCTAGGCCTACTACACTAGGCCTAGCCTTGGGCGGCCCTTAAGCTAGTAGGCCTAGGTCCTAACTAGCTAGGCCTCTCTAGCCTAGGCTAGCCTATACTAAACAACAGCAGCTCAACTCAGGCTTAACCATACAACCAAAAACAACCAGCTACCATCTATACAACTACAAATCATAACACATTATTACAGATTTACCTAGACCGGCTTAGGCCCTTAGATGTGCAATATCTAGGTAGGCCCTAGGAATGCTAAAGCTAGGTAGCCTAGGCTAGGCCTAGCTAGCATTAATTTAATATTCCACGCAGCGGAACTGAACGCAGCAGCAGCCGTTTCGTTCCATCCAGCGAAGCATTGCAATGCATTGTGATAAGATTACAAGGTCATCCTAGAGTCTTGTTATAACCTACAGTACCGTAAAATAATATACGTGAAGGTAAAACAAAAATACGGGGGTGATTAATCTAAAGAAATCAACAATAATGCAATTTTCTTAAACTGACCTCCGGGCTAGGCCTAGCCAGGCATGTCGCTGAAATTGGAAATTTGTACGGTCGATCGCGTGTGTGGTGTGGTGTGGGGGTGTGTTAACTATTACGGACGTGACTGAAAGCAGGATACTGCTACATCCATACCACCAGAATGAGATTAACCCTACGAAAAAAAAGTTATGTAGCATTAGAGGGCGTACCTGAATATTTCACTTTGTGTACTGTACAGTACTCAAATAAAAGCCCAGCGGGCTTAATCTCGAAAAAAGGAAGCCCATCTCGGCCCCTCTCTTTAGTATTGTGCAACGGAGTTACAACTGGAGATGATATATTTTCCTCTCAGATCCTGTATCCTATTGAATCTAATAATCAATGTAATAATGACCAGCGATTATACTTTATAAATATAAATAGCTCAATAAATCTGATTTTTATATAAACACTTACTCATGGCCTACCAATGACCATACTCCATCTTGCAGCTGATGTTGAAGAAGCGATGTTATTCTATTCTATGATCATTGCAACAATATGATCTTAAACCTAGATGAATTTGTAAGAGCCAAAAACAGCACCCATAACAGAAAAGATTAATTCTTGCTTTCTAGCGCGTATCATTCAATGTTTACTGTGCGAGTTCAGCGCGTAACGTAGGCTACGTAGTGAACCGGCGAACGCTTGCATTTCACTGTAACGTGTGAGTTTTGAGGGAAGCAAAATTAAAACTGCAAATCTAATTATATTTACATGATGAGAATTTACTAATCATAAGCTTTCCATTCATATATTCAATGAAGTAAAAAGAACAATAGAAAGGGTCTAACCGGTCTAACTTATCAAACAGACATGCACACTTCAGTCTTCGCATCAGTCGCCGCAGAAAAATGATTACGCTGAAACAAGCGCCTGTATACAATCAGTCAATGGTGTTTGGAAGGCTTGATTCTATTGGTTTCCAAAAGTGACGGAGCTTTGACTAATCACAACAATTTTTTATTTTTAGTATGGTAGAAAGAATAAAGATCAACTTACAGAGAGAAAGAAGCCGACTGGTCAAATACAAATGCGAGTTATTCTGATTAGAATTTGGTAACATGAGCCGCGAAAGGTAAAAAA